GGACAAAACTTTAATCTTTGAAAAAAAAAAAAAAAAAAAAAAAAAAAAAAGATTTGTTTTAAAGATTCTGATTCTTAGAAACTCCTCTACCCATGCCCCATATACATGGTTCCAAGAAGTTTCTTTTTCCTTTTCTCTTCGAACTTTGAAATATTCCTCTTCTTTGCTTATCAGTGCTTTACTCCATGAAATTAAACAAAAGCAAAAATGCTTAAGTAATAATGCCACGTGCCAGGTGCTATCTCAGTGTTTCCTTTTGTTTGCATTTTGGTCTAGTTTGTTTGCAGTGCTGGGGATGGAAGCCGGGGCCACACACAGGCTAGGTGGGTGCCCACCCAAGCTGCACCCCCAACCCTAGCCAAGTTCTAACTTTCTAATCCAGATAACAACGCATTTCCCAGTGAAGGCCATTGAGGGCACCAAGAGGGATGTAATCCACCCAAGTCTCACAGGGAATGGTAAAGTTGGTATCTGAACCTAGAAGCTCGGGTTAGAGATGTCTGGATCCAGAACAAGAGAGAAACCTAAAAAGAAAGATTTAAAACTCCAAGGGCAGGGGTTGAAGCTAGGCTGTGAGCACCCGCCCAACACATATGAGACTCTGCATTTCATCTGAGCCCCACAAAACAAAACACAACACATGTAAACATCACAATACAATGAAGGAATAGAGGCCAGACTGCTTTGAGAACTGGAAGTTCTTGCTGTTTTTCTCCCCCTCCCCCCCCGCTAATCTTACTAATACTGCTCCTGATACATACTCTGTCCCTGCAGCCCCCTCCCAGCCTACACTGGTCAGGCCTAGACAGGTGGTCCTGGACCAGAGCTGGGTGTCCCTCCAGGGCTGTGGGCAGAGCACTGCTGAGCCACCCGGGGTTCTGGGGGGTGGGCTCATCCCACACCCATTTCTTAGAAACCCTGAAGCTGAGTCTTATCTCTCACAGCCTGGCCAGGCCTCTGTGAGTTCTTCAGAGTCACAGTTAGAGTGTTCCCTTTACACCAGTGGTATCTCTGCGCTTCCCTAGAAATGTTACTATATTTTTCCTCCATTTGCTTCCTGGGAACTAAATACTGAGGCTTTACCAGCACAGACAGAGTCATGATTAGTCAGGCGAAGGCAGAGAAGGAGGCAAAATAAGAAGGCTCTCAGTTGCTCCTTGCTCTAAATAGCACACAGCCAGCTGGGGCGGAACAGGGCTACCACATCCTGGACTGCTGGAGGCCTCCTTATCAAGAGTAGCTTTGGACTCTGGTCCTGGTCACTGGTGCTGAGCTCCTACAAACCACAGGAGCATTGATGTTCATAACAACCTGGATGATCCCTAGGTGTGTATGTGTTTGTTCACCAGGGAACGCAGGACAAGTCCCGAAGGCCAAAGGAGGTCCCAACATATCATCAGATGATGGAGACATTGAGCCCCAGCCTGTCACCAGGAGGGCAGGAAATGGGGACCGGGATTAAAAACTCTGGAACAAGAGGGCCTGGGGGTCTCTGGGCTGGAGAGTGCAGTAGGGTGATGTGCTGCAGGGAGGCGCCCTGGGGAAGGCCCAGACTTCCCAGACCCTCCTCCTCCAGGTCCTGAGCTGCATTCTTATAACTAAGCCACAATGGGAAGTGACAAGCTTCCTGAGTCCCCAAGCTGTCACAGCAGACTATGAGCAGAAAGAAGCCATAGGAACCCCCAGTTTACAGCTGGTTGCTCAGAAACATACAGGGTTCGCAACACCTGGAGGGGACAGCCTCATGGGACCAAGCCCTAACCTTTGTGAGGGCCGTATAGGATGGAACTGCAGGACACTCACCTGTGTGGGAGATCAGATACTGTCCCACAGCGGCCACAGAGCCCAGGAGATGCAACGAGCCCAATGTGTCTTATGACAGGGGATGAACAAACGGCTCTGGAAGCTTAGTAGGAAAAGAGAGAGAGAGAGAGAGAGAGAGAATAATCAGTCATTTTTAACACAAAATGTATGTCAGCATGACATTTGGTCAGACTGGCTAATGAAGGCAGTATTAAAATTAATCTGTTTCTTTTTCCCTTTTTGAACAGAGTTTCCAGGAAATCAAGTTACATACCCTGTTCACCTTTGAGCCTGGGTTCTACTGCTACTGTATAAATGCTCCAAGGTATTTTCACTGCCAAAAATGTAGGCACTGAAACCATTTCTTTATCTCAAAATTTCACACACAGAGAGCAAGCAAATCTAGGGAAATGAGTCATAAAGAGGGGAAGACTTTCAAATTTATTAGGTGCGTGTTCCAGGCTAGGAACCACCCAGTATCTCACACAATGTCACCCTAATAATCCCCTCGGATAAGGGGTTCCTCTTCCTCCTATCCCTGAAAAGGAGGGCACAGAAATCTCATGCCAACAGGAACATAGCCAGGATGCAGAATGCCTGGCAGCTTCCGACTCCACTCTTTCCTGCACACCAGGGTCAACGGGTTTCTTCCCAAAAGTGCTGATAAACATAGCATCCAGGGCCTTCAGGGACACAGGGTCACCACCATTTGGCTCTGCTACTGTGCCACGGAGGCAGCTGCAGTTGACGTGTGAGAGCATGAGCCTGGTATGTTCTAGTGAAACAGTTCACAGGAATAGGCCGTAACTGGATCTGACCCCCAGGCCTCTGCTGGCTGTGCTGCTCCCCATCTCGATAGAAAACCAATTTCCTGAGTCACGATTCTGTCACCCATGCAAAAAGGGTGACATCTGCATGGGGCACTTTTCACAAAATCCTGACAAGCATGGAGGAGAAATACAAAATTTTGCAAGTGAACTTACTGCTGGGCTGTGGGCTTTCCATGGACATCAGGTGGAGCAGGCTGTGCAGATCCTACACAGGGGCTAAGTGAAAGGCCCACTGCAATTGGTTCAATAGTATGTGACAAAAATAAAATAAGAAGGGATCTTGGCAGCACGAAAGCCATCACACACATGCATGACACAGATGTCCCAGGTGAGGGGGGTTATACTCCAGTCCCTTAGGTGCTTTCCGAACCCTCACCTCAACTCCTCTCCACTTCCCAGCGTGAGCATCAGGAAAATGCAGCAAGAAGGCTCCCATCTTTGACTATACAGCCTGGAAACCCTGCACATACAAATTCACAAATCCAACATTGCTCACTAAGGGGAACTGGTTTGAAGCCAGCAAAGCTCCCGTGCACCTGGGGAGCAGAGAAAAGGATTGAAGGTAGACCACAGCCAGGCAGGCTAGGCACCTGGAGGTCCTGCCTGCTGATCTGCATGGCAGATGGAACAGGGGGTACAGAACAGAGAAAAGAAAATCAGAGTCAAGCAGAGAGGGGAAGAAATGGGTCAAGCTCTTCTCACCCTATCCAGGGGTCCGAGGTATTCCTGCCAGGTTGCTCCCGAGGTAGAAGGAGCACCCACACCCACTATGGCCCCTGCTTCAGGCACTGTGTGGCTCATGACACCAACTTTTCCACTGTCCCCAAATGTGCCCTCCCCTTCCATTCTTCCATTTCCTTTACAAATCTTTTTATTTGTTTCTATTTTATTTTATTTATTTATTTGTTTGTTTGTTGGCACTGGGGATCCAACTTGGGCCTTTGCGCTTGTGAGGCAGGATGCAGAACCATTGAGCCAAATCCTTGGCCCTACAAGTCCTTTTAAAGGCAACTGGACAAAGTGATTTCTACTCTATCGTGAGCCAATGACAAGATATGTCATAAAAACCTAATAAAGAAGTAGGTCAATTTCAGGGAGCCCTGCTCAGCAACAAGCGAATCCAACCAAGGAATGACAGGCGGAGGTTATTCCTGGTGACTGCATCAGTCACCTGCTACTGGGTAACAAATCACGACTGAGGTGGCAGCTGCCAGCTGCCTGTGTTTACTGTCTCATCTCCGTGAGTCTGGAGCTTCGGCTGGAGCTTACCCGGTTCCACACTTGATACATAAAGACTCTTCCACACACACACCCTTGCGTGACTCCAAACACACACTTCTGGCCCTCATTTTCCTGCAGGGCTGCAGCCCAGGGGTGGGGGTGAGGGTGGCCCAGGAGCCACAGAGGCAGCAGCTGCACTCACAGGGCACCTGGACATCTGCCCTGCCTGTCTTCCCTTAACCTGCAGCGAACATCACTCAATAGGTGTCCAAGTGTAATATACCCCTGTGAAAGTGCTTCCAGGGGCAGCTGTGGAGGCCAGCACCTGGATAAACTGCTTGGTTCCCACGTGGCCACTTTAGCGGGCACACAGTGTCAGGGAAGCCTCAGAGGGCCGCAGAGAGTCGGACTGGGCAGCACATATAAAATGTTCAGTTACGCTAGGGCAGCAGCTCCTGGGCTGCACATGGAGGCTTCAAGCTTGGACATTCCTGTGGTCCAAGGTCAAAAGGAACCTGCCACACAGCTCACACTCAGTTCCACACATGGGGAGGGGATGACCCAGGCATCAAACAAGCCGATTCCCTTTCCCAACTGCGATTATTTCACACCATACCTCTTCAAACATGGGGCCAAACTCCGAGGACCAGGTTCCCACAACATCCCTGAGAACCAGAGTCAAACTCATATGTATGAGATTTTTTTGAAGTCATTGACATTTTCCTGATACTGGAAGTCATTACCAGGCCAGGAGTTCCCAACCTATGACTCAATCCAACTGCTGGAACATCAATAAGCACAAAACCCCTTCTACAGGAGCATTTCTTTTAAACTAATAAACTGGATATATGTGTATGTATTTAAAACTTATTGAAACAATAACTAGGCTTTTACCCAATATAAGCATAATTCTTTCTAGAGTTCCTCTTAGAGATGGAGTTTGTCTACTTGGGTACGATTTTGTTTTGTTAAGGCAGTGACATTAAGCTACTTCTTGCTAGGCCTGCATTGACATCTCTGCCTGGTGGCCTGAGTTTTGAAGCTGTCATCAGCAGACAGGATGACACCTGGTCTCCAGCTAGGCCCTGACCTCCTGCAACTCATCCCTGCTATCTAGGCAGACTGTTGACTTGGGGACTCCTTCCTAAGGTGCTCATAAGTGGTTTCCATTTAGGCAATTTAAATATTAAAAGAGCCATTAATATATTATTTTTAAAAACCCATTTGAGATGTATCATCCATGTGTTTATGGGCACTCTGTCAGAGAATATAGCAGCCGGTCTAAAAACTCCCAGCACTGCGCCAGGCGTGGTGGTGCATGGCTACGATCCCAATAATCAGGCTGAGGCAGGAGGACTGCCCTAAGTTCGAGGCCAGCCTGTGATACATAATTAATTTGAGCATAGCCTGAACAATATAGTGAAAACAAACAGACTCCTGGCGTAAAAGGTATGGAGGACGGTCCCCAATTGCACACAACTGTCATTACCATTATGGAAGGGACAGGGAAATCATGTTATTCCTCTGATGACTGCGGAGGCCATGACAATGACACAACAGGCACATGGAAGGATATGCTAAACATGAGTCAAAGCCTGGGAGAACACAAGCATAAGCTTTTCTGCCCCGAGTCTTTGGGCTGCAAGGTGGTCCCAGACGCCAGGCCGTGGGTGCAGGACCCAGCTTTAAGGACCCACTCAGGACTTACATCAAAGCCTAGGCCACAGGGTTTAACTAATCCTGGGCTCCAGTCTCAGACTGTGGGGGAGACCGGGCCCCTTTCGGAGCAGAGGACGCAGTGACAATGAGGTGTGGTGACATCTGCACTCCAAGTGATGCTTTTATCCAAAGCCACCAAAAACACTGCGACTTCCACCTGGCCAGCACGGAAGTTTAGAAAAAGGACAAGACTTTCCTTTTAAAAAACATCAGAAATTCCAGATCAAAATGGAAATCATAAACCGTACTGTAAGACAGAGACATGAATTAAGGAAACTACAGTCAAAGTAGTCTGCGCACAGCCTGCATTGGGTCATTTGCCACAGGAAAATTAGTTACATGGCCAGTGCCTGGGGAACGAAATGGAATGAAACCTCCCTCTGTACCTGCAGTTTGGGGAAAGTGGAGCAGAGCCCTCCTCTTCCCCCACCCCTCAATGGTATTATGGCCAGGGTGACAGGAAATAGGAGCAGCTGCCTGCAACTGCCAATCACTGCCCAAAGTGATTTCCCTGGACCTCCAGTTTCCGGAATGAAGGCAGACTAATCACCTCTCACACATTAAGCTTCCTCTCCCCAAAGCCCTTCAGACCAGGAATTCAGGCATTCTCTCTACCTTTAAAAACTGCATCACAAACTTATATCTCAGATTAAACTTGTGCTATTTTCGAATTAAGTTCATGAGAAACGTTATGCATTAATTAGTCTATCATTAATTAATTATAGTATTTCACGTAAACCATTTTATACTAATCCACGCCATCAAAAGCTAACACAGACTGGTTCACTATGAACTAAAGGAGGAATCAATAATTATGATTCTACTTGCTTTGAAAGCTAGCACTAATTTATTTTCAGACACTCATCAGAGCTCAAGGCTAAGCCCTGAAATCCACCCACCTCTGGAAAATGGTTCCCAGTGCCTTGCTGTCAAACGGCCTTATAATCCTGACATGAGACTGATGAAAGTCAGCCATTTGAAGCACTTCATTTAAAAAAAAAGATACTTGCCATGCCCTCAATTTAACCCCCAGCAAATAAATAACTAAATAACAAAAATCACCTCCAATGGATTAAGATAGTTTCAAAGGAAACACACACCAAACCAGACCCTCAGTAGGATCCAAAGCAAACTTGCAAAATATCTGAACAGTACTGATTTACAGTACTCTTCACTAGTCTAGGAGAAGTAGCAATTTTGACGGAACAAATCTTTTCTAGATTAAAATGTGATGGCATAAATGCATTTAACCCACTATAGACCAAACAGGAAATAAGAATTAATGCACTACCTGATGCCAGCATTCCACTGAAAGGAGCATTTTGTAAGAAGT